ACAAAGGACTTCCAAAAGAAGGCGGAGTCTACAAAGGACTTCCAAAAGAAGGCGGAGTCTACAAAGGACTTCCAAAAGAAGGCGGAGTCTATAAAGGACTTCGGAAAGAAGGCAGAGTCTAAGAAGGACTTCCGAAAGAAGGCGGAGTCTATAAAGGACTTCCAAAAGGAGGTGGTGTATATAGATGAATGCCAGAAAGAAGGAAGGGAAGATTATATGGAGAAGAATGGAGAAGGCTTCAGACGTTATAAAGCCAGGCATGAGCTGAAAAGAAGCACAGAAGGATTAAATTCACATAAGAAGAGGAGGACTGGCATGTCTCTGCCTTTCCCTTTACTGGTGGGACTATCACCTTCCGGCTTTCTCTCAGCCAATAAGAAAAAGCCAGGAGGACCAGATGATGTAATACAGGTAAAAGCTCATCACTTTCTTTCTTCTTCATTTATACTAAGTGACATTCCTGGTTCTGGTTACCCTGGAACATGATTTTCTAATAAATCTTGTAATAACTTCACTTCATAGCTTCATCTTTTCTAGCTAACTTGCACTATATTAACAAAACAGTCGCAATCTGTCAAAGGTTAACCTGAAGAATGATGTCTGTCGGAACCTTTTGGTTGTTCTATCATGCAGCTTGGCTGATGGGGGAATCTCGTCACATTCCTGTTATTTATAGTTTGGGGTCCATCTTAGCACAGATGACACTGTGGTTTATCTGTTCTCTGTTTTTTTTCTCTCTTTCTGCTGGTGTAGAAGCAGATTTCTAGTTTGTTACTTTGTATTCTCTTGTTTCTGTGGTCGTGCAGGTCAATGGGAAGCAATACCCTTTAGCAAAGATCAAGTTGGGCAGGATGGGGGCGCTTCATCCAGCCAATCGTCTGGCAGCTTATCTAACAGGCAGAGTGGGGTCTACGAAGCAGCGACAATCTTCTTCATCGTCCGAGCCGTCTTGCAATCTTCAGAGTATCCCCCACGTCACATCTTCAGTTTACTGTGTCCCACCTGCTCCTGCAGCCTCCACTGTTGCCCCAGCCATGGTCCAGTCACAGCCACCAACCACTCAGCCCACTCTTGCCACCCCTTCTTCAGGTAAGCACATATATCTGCAAATAAGCATAACTGGATGATGAAATTATGAATAGTGCTATTACTACTACTTGTATTACTAATAATAGTTACAATATTATAATATTTTAACTGTGAAAAATTTACCAACAGAAATTACATCAAGAAATGTTGATACCGTTTCATCTTGTCTGTCGTTCTGAACTCTTTCCCATTCAGTTTTGGTCTTAAACACACAAAAAAAGTTTTCGCTAATAAAATTCATTTATAGACATTTCTTAAACTTGGGTTTCTAAGAACTGCGGTGTGTTTTCTAAACCTTTGAATCAACCGTCTGTTTCATGTACGTCTAGACTCTGAGCCACAGAACGTAGTTGTTGGACCTCCAAACCCACCTCAGAACTCGACCCCTCCTCAGCCGCTGCTGATTCAGGTTCCAAACCCTCCTAATGTGGCTGCTCCTTTGCTGCCGCCCCGGATCACTCAGTTCCCGGCTCAAAGGATGGTCCTGAAGCCTGTCCGGTCATCAGCGGGTGTCCAGTATTACCGAAAACCTGACGGAACCTTGGTCCAGCTGATTCCCACCAGCCAGCTGAGGCCTGGTAATCCATCAGCAACCATTCATGGAGGAAGTGAGTGTTGAAACACAACGAGGATTTGTTGAATTCTGTCAAAATATTATTATAGCGTATTAATAGAGTGTTATATTAGTGCAGTTCAGCTGAGTAAGGTGAACATCATTCTGTGTAGAATAAGATGCTGGTGTTGGATTATTTTTGCAACAACTATTAACTTTAAGTCAGTGTTCTCTCCTCTTTCAATAGGTTGTTTGTATATGCAAAGAGTTGCAGTGTTATGTTTAACTTTACCTTTAATTTAGTTTTAATCAGTGTTTTGACTAAAATGCAAGTTTTAGTGGCATTTAACACATCTGTAGTCATTTTAGCTTTACTCAAAATAAGTCATAAAGAAATGCTTAAAAATACCCCTCACATCTTTAAGAATGCATTTTTTAGTCTTAATTTGCTTGTATAGGAATAAATAGGGTTATTGTATTTTGAAATGCACATATCATTTATAAATTGAGAAAAAATGTATTTGCTTTTCCCATCTGAAATAAGACCTGCATTTTCTGTTGAATACATTCAAAACTGCTTATTAAATAAAAAAAATGTGAAGGAAGTGCGACAGTTTTAAAAATGTTCTCACTTTATATTTCTCTAATGGAGACGATGAAAGGATGTATAAACATTATTGAATTAAAAAAATATGTAAAAAGACGAGGAGCAAATCTAATGATACAAGTTTTTAAAACAGATAAGTTAATATTTGTTAGGATCTTAAGAAAAAGCTCATTTGAATATCTTCAGCTTCAACAATGTGAAATCAGAGGGAATCTGTTCCAGAGAGGAGGTCCAGCAGTGAGGACGGAGCAGAGGTCAGACCACCTGAACCCAGTTAGACCATGGGGTTTTAACAGTTTAGTAAAACGGAGAGGAGCTTTTTCATGTAGGGCCCTGAAACGTACAAATACTAAAATGAACAGGTAACCAGTATAAGAATATTAATTAAACTTTTAAAAAATAAAACAAGGTGACAACCCCCTTACAGAAATCTCTCTGCGGGTCAGGGGTCTCCAATCGACACATGCTGAGAAAATAACTTTGTTGTCTTTTCCAAACCTTTAATCAACTGTCTGTTGTTTCATGTACCTCTAGACTCCGAGCCACAAAACTTGGTTGGTGGACCTCCAAACCCACCTCAGAACTTGACGACACCTACGGACCCCCAGCCGCTGCTGATTCAGCTTCCAAATCCTCCTAAGGTGGTTAATTTGCTCCAGCCCCGGATCACTCAGTTCCCAGGCCAAAGGATGGTCCTGAAGCCAGTCCGGTCATCAGCGGGTGTCCAGTATTACCGAAAACCTGACGGAGCCTTGGTCCAGCTGATTACCTCTAACCTGCCGAGGTCTGGCAATCCTCCAGCAACCGTACCTGGAGGAGGTAAGTGTTGAAACCCTTACAGGGCTGAATACTGTCAAAATATTGTTTACAATTTTGGTATGGGATATTATATCAATAAAGATCTGATCAGATCCAGTTAAGTCCATTTGTTATTTGGCTCGGTAAATAAGAAATTGTTTACATCCTGAACCCAAACCGTTCCAGATTCAGTCTGGACATTTTGCTACTAATGAAAGGAAATGTGAACAAGGTGGTTAATCTTCATGGTTCTGGAATAAATTTCAGTGTAAAGTAATATTTTTTTTAGCCCAATGAAGTTTTTCCCATCTTCCTCCTCCTCCTCTTCCTCAGACCGTTCTGCTTCCTGCGCCCAGCTGCCTCCTGTAGCCGCGGTGAAGAGGCCGGCTCTGACCAACCTGTCCTCTTCGTCCTCTGTGGTTTTACCTTTACCGTCTCCAGGAGCCTCGTCTTCCTCCTCCAACCCCCCCATACCGCCATCCGTTTTTCTGTCCCCGCAGAACACCTGCACGTTTAGGATCGTCCCCCCCCACCGGGTCAAGGACCCCATCTTTATCCAGCTCCCTTTCCTGCCCCCCACCCAAATAGTGGGATCAGAACGTGGCATCATACAGCTCCAGGGCCCCAGCCAACCTGTGAACTACACTCCCCCAGACCCTCTGGTGTGTGAAAAAAAGGACATTCCAGTTGAGCGCCACAACGATTCACCACAAACCCTGCTGACCGTCCAGACTGCCGATCACAGGGGGGCCTCACCTCCGACGCGGTCCCCCCCGCCTGAGCCCACCCTGGACTGTCTCGGCCCTAAAGAGGAGTTTGCCTTTGACCCCATGGACCTGAACGTCGTGTTTGTGGACGAAGTGGTGGACTTGGTGTCCAGCAGCGAGACGGAGGACTCGTCCGACTTCAGGGAGTCTGACAGCGAGGACGAGAAGAATCAGGTGATTACAGACCAACGCAATGTTTTCATTTTGAAAGTTTATTTTTTCTCTCATTAAAACAACATGAAGTTCTTATTAGTTCAGTGAACATGATTTAGATTTGCCCCCAGATGGATGAATCAGTCAGGAACAAGCTGGTCAGCTGTGGAAGTAAAAGTTACATCATTCTGTGATGAGCAGATTTAGACTCTGATTTAAAAAAAAAAAAAAAAGCTGTGATCAAAGGTTTTGTTACCAATTTCCTTTTTGTGATGGTAATTTCACCTACTTTCCAGGGGGGGTTGTTTGTTTGCTTTTTGTTAAGTATAAGAACGTTCAAAAACTATATTTTTCTACTTAATTCTTTCGTCCAACCATAACATAAATGTGCCATATCACAAAATTACTTTTTTTTACTCCAAAAAATGAATTGACATAGTGGATGAGGATATATTTGACTGGTGAGATTGGTCGATTTATTTATTGTAAGACCAGAGGTGAATATCTGTGATGGAGAGCAGTTGGTGCTACACAGCTCTGCAGTAATCACATTATTACAGTGACATTTCAAGCATTCTTTTCACAGATTATCTGTCTCATCACAAACTGTCACGACATGCTGACAGTTTTAACAAACATGGGGAAAAACCTTTCTCTAAAAGTTACATACTTCAGCTTTAGGATCTGATATTAGCAATTATTAGAATTAGCACAGCTAGCATTAAGACAGCATTATTTTTATTTTTTTTTTCACAAACCAGCTGGCTGTGTGTGGAATTTTTTTTGCTCTGGTGACGATCACAGCATGTATTTTTCTGCAGAATGCAAAGCGCTCTAAAGGAGACCTGAAGAAGAAGAAAAAGCAGCTGAGGAGTCGTGATGAAAACCAGTCAGTTCTGCCTCCAACAGCAGGTCTGAACACACATTTTATTATCCATAAATCAGAGTCTAAAAGCAGCTTTACTGCTGCAGATTACGTCATTTGAATCAAACTGTGGGATCTAATGGGACCTTTATGGCAGCAGTGTCTCTTTAATGTTTCTGTGCAGAAAAGGTTGCAGTGAAATTTTTTTTTCTGGTTTTCATTTAGCTTTAAGCCAAAGAAGGCAGGCAGCAAAATTAGTTTTGTAAAAAAGATCTCAGCTGAGAATTCCAAAGTGAACAGAGGCACAAATAGTCAGTCAGTGTTTTGTCCTTCATTTGTCTCAAAGCTGATGAATTGGTTCAGTTGCTCAATTTTTTGGTGTTTTTATGCAACTTAAAAAGTCTTAGTACCCATTTGGAACTCAGTGTTTCCATCATAAATCATTTCTGAACTTTTTCCACCTTTTTATGTGACCTCTGACCTCCAAAACTCAGACAAACGTCAGTCTCTTAGATAAAAAGATCAGATGCTGCGGCTGAACCCATCCCCAGGTTTAAGAGGTGATGGGAGGTCAAGCAGGGTTGATCTGTTTCTTCCTCTTGAATGATTACAGTTTGGTTTCCACTGAAGGAAAAAGTTCTGAAATGATTTTTGTTTTCTTCCATACAAACCAGGCAGTCTGAGAGGACTGTGCAGACTTTTCATATCAACTTTAAGGTGAACAAATTACCAAATATTTATGTTCAAATGTTCAAAGCAAGATGTTTTTCTTCTTCTTTTTTTTAGTTTAAGTGCTTTTGCATAAATGGAAACAAACATTTTTCTGCTTAAATAATATAAACACATTTAGCAGGTCTGTTGGTAGCAGGTGTGTGTTGGTGTATCAACACACACCTGGCTGACCTGACCCAGTTCTGGGTGTGTTCTCTGGTTCTGTGACAGCGGGTCAGGCTGCAGCTGCCAGGACGGAAGTCCAGAGTCTGATTTACATCTCATCTGAGGAGGAAAGCCCCAAGAGGAAAACCGTCACTAATGTAAGACACGTTTACGCGACTAGAGTCAGGTTATCTGCAAAGAGTCGCACCTCCACAACACTTCTACTTTCGAATTAGTTTTATTTCATCTGTTAACCTGTTGACTACGATGCTTTCATCATTAAAGTTCCATAAAAATGTTTGATCCACTTAAAGATATGTTTTTGTTTTGGTTATTTACTGTAAAATGTTTCACCAAAATAATTTTCATAACAATCAAAGAGAACCAGAGTGAATATAAAAAGCAGTTATCTAATAAAGACTTTATTAAGAAAAAAAAAGCAATCTATGCCTTACAGAATCTCACTTGATCTTTGAAATGTTTTGAAAATTGTCCTGATTCTTCACATTTCTAGGCAATCAAGGCAAAGTCAGTCAAATTTGTTACATCCCATTTTTTTGTGCAAGGATAAAAATGTCTACTAATAGAATAAAATAAAAATAAAAAACTTGAAAATATTTTAAGCTTGTTTTTATTTGCAGATAACTTCTAAAATTATAAGTAAAAGAAAATTTGGTCAGACTAAAAACCAGGCCTTGAAACAACTTGTTTTTCTTTTTTCTGTTTTTGCCTTCCTGTACATTTTCCAGACATATTTTTTTCTCTACTGTCTTTGTATCTTTCTTGTCATGATGGCCTCACATAGTGTTTTCACTGAATCAGACACAGTTCATTTAGTAAAGCAACTCGTGCCTGAAGTTCCGTTCAAAATATTTGCACGGTCACAGAATCCTCCTGAGACAAACAAATGTGTGTAGCCACATAAAAACAGGTGCCAGGCTGCTCTGAAGCTGCAAAATGGCTGCTGACTTGACTGGGCTTCATCTGTTTCTTGGTGTGGCAGGGTGCTGCTGCAGCTGCAGCTGGTGAGCTGACAGGTGATGGCCAGCTGGGAACCGGTCTGCAGGAGGCTTGGAGCGGTACTTTGGAAAACCTGGAGAGGAACAGTGGATGTGAAGCGGTTCAGCAGCAGATGGAGATGACCATTAATTCAGAGTAAGAAGTGAAGCCACATCACTGTGAGCTAACCAGACTGGTAACTAGTTGGTTAGTTGGTGCTTGACAGGTTCAGCAGGTTCTCAATACTTGATATGTAACATTTCTAAGATCTAAACTCGTCCTCCTGTGTAATCTGGGATTTTCTGTTTTTCAGCTTGGAAGCTGAAGGGGACTCCAGAAATTCTCAAAGGACCCAGATTAACGTTCAGGTGTGTAATACTGTAACCGGGGAGACCAGCAGGTTCTGTGATGCAGTGAATCAGTTATCAGATGTAAACAATACTGGAATTTAGTTTATTTGTGCAAAATAAAGGAAGATGACCATTTGCAGTTGCTGAAGGTTCTGGTTAAGAAACATGATTAATGTATGTAACGTGATTTTTATTTTTCCTTTCTCTCTTTATATTGGTGTGGTATACCATTAGTGGTGAAACGATTAATATGATTAATTGATAACTGAAATGATTGTGAACTAATTTAGTAATCGATTAATTATTAAATGGAGTATATGGACTCTTATAAATAAAAAAGTCATTTTCTCAAAGAACAACAATATTGAACAAAAAATCTATACATTTTACAATTAAAATAAAAAAGCCTTTTTCTGGAAATATCCAATCTGCAGCAACTTTGATACATTTCACCTTTCATTTAAAGACTGTGAAGCTTACGTGTGTGTGTGTGTGTGTGTGTGTGTGTGTGTGTGTGTGTGTCTGTGTGTGTGTGTGTGTGTGCGCGTGTGTGTGTGCAGCACCACGAATCCAATGCAAGTTGCAGAAAGCATCGAGCCCAGATGAAGCAGACGTTCCTCCAGTTGAAGAGGGAAGTGTTACCAGCCGATGACAGCATGTCCAGAACCTCCCTGCTGGAAAAGGTGTGCAACCAGTTCTCCAACCTCCTCTGTGTATGTGTTTGTGTTGGTCTGAAGACGTTCACAGTGTGTGTTCTGCTGCAGGCCGTGCAGGTGATCCAGGAGCTGAGGAGCTGTGAGGAAGACCTGAAGAGGAAGAAAAGGAGCCTGGTGCGGAGACGGGATGAGTTCCTGTCCATTCTGGCTCCGTCAGCAGGTGGAAACACTTCTTATCTGAGTCTAAACAACCTGGGGACTGATCTGGATTACATCATTTAAACAGAACTGTCAAATCTGATAGAGGTGCAGGAAAAAAATGTATTCAATAGAGAATCGCAATTCCAGGTCCTGGGAATTCTGAATCGATTCAAAAATAAATTTTGGCCTGCTTGATTTTCTGTAAAATTGTATTGTAATTTTTAGATTTTTTTATTTTTATTTCAGAGAAAGCCAGCCAGCTAAGCTAACCTCACACTGGTAATTTAAGTGACAGAATTTTACACACACACTTCTTTTTTGTTTAGATATAAACTGATGGAACTTGATACAGTATGGAACTTCTTAAAATTGTTTTAACCAGATGGTATATTTGTTTACAGTGTCTTTTCCTCTTAACACACAGATGATTTAAACAGAATCTCCAGTCCGTTTGAACAGAAAAGTCATTTCTTAATCAAAAATTGTTTCAGATCTGAATATAGTTTCTGAATCAAATCATGACCATAAAAATCAGAAGCAAATCTCTGGACAGTGAAAGATTTGCATCTCTAGAATCCGACACATCTCCTAGAATAAGCTGCCATATCTGTAAATGATGCCAGTTTGTCAGGTTAAGTTGAAGGAGAAATGCAGAATGTCACTTTATTTGCACTTTTACCACAAACCTGCATCATATCAGTCCACAACCTTTTAAAATGAAACAAACAAGATAAATCTTTAAGGAGTAACTAAACCACAAATCAACTCTCCCCCTCACCCCCCCAATAAACTGTCTTAAATTGGTCCAAAAGGGCACCATCTTTATTTCTGTGCAAATTTTGACATTTTTGTGTAAAAAAAAGTTTAATTCTGAAATTTATTGACATCAGGTGATGGCCAGCTGGGAACCGGTCTGCAGGAGGCTTGGAGCGGTACTTTGGAAAACCTGGAGGGGAACAGTGGATGTGGAGTGGCACAGCAGCAGATAGAGATGACCATTAATTCAGAGTAAGAAGTGAAGCCACATCACTGTGAGCTAACCAGACTGGTAACTAGTTGGTTATTGGTAACTAGTGGGTTAGTTTGTGCTCGACAGCTTCATGTCTTCAGCAGGTTCTCATTACTTGATATGTAACATTTCTAAGATCTAAACTCGTTCTCCTGTGTAATCTTGGATTTTCTGTTTTTCAGCCTGGAATCTGAAGTGGACTCTCCAATCTCTCCAGGAACCGAGCAGCTTGGTCAGGTGTGTACTACCGTAGCCGTGGGAAACCAGCAGGTCCAGTAGATCCTGAAGAATTATGTGAACAATAAAAACTGCCTGGCCTCTTACAGATATCTGATATATTTGCTTTTTTTCATACTTCAATGACTTACATCATCTGAAAAAGTCTAGTGAACTCAGGAAGCAGTTTTCAGCTGATCTCATCCAAACCACCCTGCCTCTGTGACAAAGCTGTTACATTTCTTAAAGGGGCAGCATTATGTAAAGTTGACTCTTTCTTTTTTTTCTTATTTTTTTTATTTATTTATTTTTTTTTTATTTTTTTTTTAGCTTTACATCATGTTATAATGTTATTCCCTCATCAAAAACATACCTGGAGTTTTGTTTTGATTCTTTCATGCATGTTTGAGAAATCCATTCATCTCCATGGCAACCATTCAGTTGTGCAAAACACCTAAGTGGGTCTAACCCCGCCTTTGAGACACAGCTCCTCCTCAGAGCTGCAGTTTTCAAGCTTCTGCGCCTCACAGAGCAGCCCTCCCTCACTCAGCTCCTGCTACTTCTCATTACAGTGCTGGTAAAAATATTGCTAAATGCTTAATAGAGGAACTTATCATGTTGTGAAGACTTCCTTAAGGCGGAGCTTCCAAAAGAGCAGAAGCTTTTAAAGAGACAGGTTTCAAGATATTAAATCAAAAGTAACATTACAAGTAACATAACAAGTCATATCTGCCACATAAAGCATTTTTATAATAACTGAACGTAGTAATTTGATTGTGCTATAAACTTGTACTATATGCCTGGAAAATGCATAATACTGCCACTTTAACGATTTTTTAAACTTTTTTATATGAGCTCATGAGACGGCTGCTTTGTGGACTGAATGAACTTGGAGTGTTTGTGGGTTTTAGGCTCCTCAGGAGGTCCAGAAGCTTCCGACCGAGGCGGAGAGCCTGTGGTCCAATCAGAGCTTGAAGAAGGAAGATAATAAAGACGCACACACTGAGGACGTCTGCAGCACACCAGGTCTGACACTAACCTTTTGGTACTTTACTTGGGCCTGTTAGAATGAATTAGAATCAGGGAAATCACAAACATTGATTGAGTTTTATCTCTACACAACTTCAGCATCATGCTGCATTCACTGTACGTCCAAAGTGGGAAATCAAACTACTTTTCTGCTCATTGTACAGTTGCATTTTAATTAGGTCTGATCCACTTTTTTCACTTCCAGTACCGATACAGAGAAACAGCTGAAACATTAGTTTTTTTCAAACACAGACATAAGTGTACTGAAAAACTGATTAATGTGCTAACTCTGCACCAGTACATCACACTGAAATACACCAACAGCTTCACTGAAAAAACAACTTTCATTTGTTTAGTTAGTGCAATTAGGAGTAGAACAACCAATGGAAAATAAATAATAAAGAAAGTGAAACTGACTGAAACAATAGGTTGATTACTTTGGTCAAACATGTAAAATAAACTTTAAAGAGGTTCAGAAAGTCCAATTAAGAATTCTAAATTTGATGTAAAATAAATAATTAAGCATGACAGAGTTCAGAGCATAAAGCATAGAATTAGACTGAATAGATTTGGCTTTATGGATTGGGAACATTTTGGCCGCAAAGCTCCTCCTCTGAGCTGCAGTCTCTAAGCTTCTGCCTCACAGAGCTGCCCTCCTTCACTCAACTCCTCCAGACTAGCCAGCATTAATTAGCAAACACCTGAGCTCATAATGCGAGCTACTTCTCAGCGCAACACTCCTAACAATGATTGTAAGCAGCATAATGGAATCGTGATGTTATGATGTCATGCTGAAGGAGGAGTGGCAGAAAAAGGAGGAGCTTCTTAAAGAGACAAAGGACCAATTTCAAGACATCAAATTACAAAGTCAAATTTCTTTTAAGTTATGTTTGATATAAACAGCGTTTAGATATTAAATAAGATAATAAGACAGCACATGTCATTTATGTTGGATGAAAAGCTGTGAATGTCTGTTAAGGAGTTTCTGCTTTGCTCCTCTGTGAGCGAGTGACATTTACAGAACCTGGGAGTCGGGCCAGTCAAGGATCTTTTTTGTTTTTCTTCACCAAAGTAGTTTCAGTGTTAAACTGTTTTCATTTCTGCTGATGATTGCTTTGCAACAATTCTTTCTTTTTCCCATTGCTGCAACCTCTGGTCCTGGTCAACTGAATTCAGCTCTGAGCCGGGTCATAGAGTAAGAGTCACTCTCATCAGCAGCGGGTGGCCTCCAATCAAAATGTTTGAATTTTCTGTCTTGTTTTTGGTTTTTGATCTGCTTAATTGAATCAGTAAAAACACACTAGAGCCTCGCTGTGCCAGGCTGCTGGAGTCATTCATTAGATTTCCGTCATCGCACTGTCGGTTCACTGTGATCCTGTGAGACGGTTCTGGAAAACCAAACTGGTTCTTTCATAAAACCAGTAAAGAGCAGAGCCAGAAGCCGCCTGCCGGCCATGACTCGTGGATAGATACTTTTAAACTCTGGATGGGTAAACTGTGGAAGAGAAGAAGTGTAAATATTTATGGATCAGCTTGTCTGTCATACCATCAGTGTGGTATTTGCTAATGTAAGCTCTCTCACTGGATGATGTGGTTAAGAGGACGTTTAGTCCTGCATATTGCAAAAAGAAGGCAGATTAGAAAAATCCTCTGTGGAGAAGCTGTTTTGATTTCGGTAGTTTTCATTTCCACACATTTACTTTGTAAACCTTCCTAAAGGCAGAACATTTTAGATGTTATGAGTGAAACTTCCATAAATCATTTGGAAATATGTTCTTTATTATGGAAACATGTCAGGTAAATGTGATATGTCACATGTTTGGTGGTTTTCTGGAATCTCTTGCGTTTTTGGCTGCAGGGACGGAGACGCTGCAGCACCTGCTGACCAATCAAAAGCAGCCTGAGATGGAGGGGAGGCAACAAACAACCAATGACGTCCCAGTGGAGGGCGTCCTCTGTGTAGCCATCCCTACAGGAGTCGCTGGCCCCCTGCAGGCCCCGCCCGCAGCCGTCCAGCTGCAGCCTCTCCGTCAGCCTGTCCTGCACGTGTCCGACGGCGCGCCGGCTCCTCCAGACACCAAACGGATAAAGACCGTTCCAAACATTCTGTCTCGCAGCAGGAACCGAGACTTGCCTCAGAAAATGTCAGCTGAGAAGGGTAAGACGGCAACATAACACGTAGACAAAACCACTTAACCGGGTCAGGAAGACGGATGAATGTAGCTGCATTTCCATTAATGGTAAAATGGGAACGACGAAAATATATCCACTTGATGGAAACATGCCAATGATGTGAAAATCTTTTTTTAAAAAAAAAAAAAAAAAAAAACTCACGTTTTTTGGACAAAAAGCTTTAGCATCAGGATGAGGTGGTTCCTCTGCCGTATCGACATAGATGTATTTTGCAAAACTGCAATGGAAAAAATTTTTTGTGATCAACATCCGGATGTTACTACTGGCGGAAACAACAAAGAGACAGGAAGTAGTTGTAGAATATTTGATATATAATTTTTCTTTGGTACAAGCTTCAGTGAGACTTTAAAGGTTACACATGCCTTATGTTATTGATGTAGAAGGAAAATGATGCATAGCTTATAGAAATGAGAAGGAATGTAGTGTGCATAATTCCAATGTAAAAAAGGGGAGAGGTAAATGGGAATAACCAACACACCAAAAATGTACAAAGGTTTCTAACGTGAACAAAAAAGAGCGTATTTCAGCTACTGTACATGCTGAGCAAGCAGTGTGAAAGATGAAAGGATGTCTAAGCCAGTCAGAGTGAAGCTGGGTAATCAGACCTGACCATCAAACCAAATCTCCAGTCAGTTCTCGCCATGTTCACTTTCTCAATTTGTTCTACATTTTTTTTGTTTTGACTGTGTTTTTCCAAAATGGAACTAAGTTGTTATTTTTGTCTACCCTAAAAACCTCTAGTTTCCTGCTGCTGATTACTGTGTTTCTCCACAGCACCACCCATGGATAAAGTGCCGTTTGCCGCTCCTCCAGGAAGTACACCGCACCGAACCCAGGAGCTTCAGCCGCTGCTGGCTGCAGCTCCGCCTGCGTTTCTCCTGGTGTCTGCCGAACCCAGCCAGATGGGCGTCCCCCTCCCCAGGCTGCCTCCTCAGGCTCTGGCCCTGCCCCCTCAGGGTCCAGCTCCGCCCCCTTGTGCTCCAGTCCCGCCCCCTGGTCTTCCTTACCCTCCCTTAGACATCAGACAGTCTGACCCTGCTGGACAGATGGCCAGACAGGACTCGGACAATGAGAGCCTGTCGTCCCTCCTTAGCGAAATAGTTTTTCTTAACCAGCAGACTGTTGCCACGGCTACTACAGCGGTGATTGATCCTCCGGTGGTGGGCGGATCCGAGGAACAGAAGCATGCCTCCGAGCACCCAGGGCCAATTTTAGGGAACGCTAATGAAGGTGTGCTGGCCCCGCCCCCTCTGCTGCACATGAAGGTGGGAGGAGCCAAAGAGGCGAGACTAGGCAGTAATAATGAAGCAACAGTGGGAGGGGCTGGGGCCGTGGGCGTGGCCTGGAGGCCCATGCCTAGGCTGGTTCCTCTGGGGCTGAGGGGAAACTCCCCCAGCTGACTTCACGTCATCCGGGCAACGACCGGGAACGACTAGAAATGGATTTTCTTTCTGCTCCCGAAGCCGAATCAGATGGATTGATTCAGCACGGCTCTGATTTTTCTATTTGATCTCTCACAATCGCCGAGTTCTGCGGTAAAGCTGCAACTTTTCTGCTTTAGACTTTGTGGACTGAGATGACGTCAGTCGTCCTGGAGCAGAGCAGAGAGGAGCTGATCTGCTGATCTCCACACATTTTGGTTTTCATCCTTCGATAGACAGAGAAATCCACATGAACTATTCAACAACCTTTCATCGTGCAGATGTTGCCACCCAAGAAAGTCTCAGCATAACCAGGTGCAGCAGCCTTCGTTAGCAGAATGAAAGGTGTTAAAGGAAAAAGATGGATGCTTCAAAATCAGACAGCAGAAACCTGGACTGGTTCAGAATCATCACTCATAAAAAAAACAAACTCAAACCAAGTTATTAATAACTTCCACTACATAGTTACCATATCTGAGAGAATATAAGTTAATTTCCCTTGAAGAATATCTTCTTTTTTCTTCTTTTTTTTCTAAATTTGACTCGATAAAGTTTGGTGTAAAATAATAAAAATTCAACTTTTTCCTAAATATTGTTTGCTGCTAAAGTTTCTACTTCTATCAGTCAGAGGTTTGTTGACATGCAGTATTCACTTCCTTCACACTGACCCACTCTTCATGTTGAATCTTCTCCTTAAACCGCCTGGGACGATTCTGGCGAACGTCTCCGGAGTAAGATGGTTCAGTTTGGTTTCTTTGTTTGGAAGTTCAAATAAGTGCAAATCGTTGTTCTTTAAGAATTCTGCCTCGTGTCGCTTAAGTTTGGAATTTATTTTTTTGTGTTAAAAACTTTTGAAGTAGGTGATGTTACTTGTTTAACTCTTTAATATTAATAAAGTTTTTTTTTTTAAATAAACTTGTGTTTTTGGCTTTGATTTGCAGAATGAAAATGGGACGATGCTTCATTTTTTTATGTAAATTGGTCTTAAATTTTGTCATGGCTGGACTATTTAATCTTTTATATTACTGTTTATTTTTTTGTTCTCATGTCAGACAAAGGTTTGAGTCATGCGCAGATATCTTCATATCGTTCTGTGACTTGAGGTGGTTATGATTACTGCTAAGTAGTTGCTAATCTAGGTAGCTTTTTCATGTCTTTCATGGATAAGTGTAAATTTATCACCAGTTGACTAGATGAAGTTTCTTAGCCACTGGCTCACTTCTGTTGCCAACCCGTATGATTTCTTTGTGATTTTATAGGTCTTAAGTTCCATAGATGGTGGCTATAAAAAGGTCTTAATAGATCTGAAATTGGAGTTTTATGAAACCTGCACAAAAACTGCTTAAGTTATCATGCTGGATGTTTTGCATCCATCTGTTCAGCTCCATGGAGAAATTCTAGTTTGAAGTGTTTGGGTATGTCTCTGGACTTTGACTAGACCATTCTTATCACATTAATAGGCGTTTAAGTTGATATTTAGGGTGGTTGTCCTGCTGGAAGGTAAACCTCTACACCCGTCTTGGTAACACTTTATTTGAAGGGGGTTGGATAAGACTGACATGAC